GGGCGGCAGAGGCAGTCTGCCCGTTCCAGCTGGCACGGCCGGGCTCACCCAGGACCTGCGGGCAGCCGTGGGAGGGGCCGGCTGAGAGACAGGTGCCCTTCGCCCAGGGGGTGGGGAGGGGCTCGGGTGCGCTGTGGGGGGAGGTGCGAGGGGGAATCGCGTCCCCAGAAGGCAGTCCTGAGCCCCTGCCTGTGAACGCCTCCCAGAGGGGCTTGGCAGAGTGCTTCAGCCCCGGGGCAGCCGCCCAGTCAGGTGGGGCGAGGGGGGAGACAGCGTCGGCCACGGCCTCGGGGCACCGGGCACCAGCAGCTGAGGGGCGAGGGGCCCACCCCAGGCCTGGGCCTCCAGGGCTGCTGGACAGCGAATTTCAGGTGGCCGCAGCTGTCAGGTTTGTGGCCGCAGCCGCGGGGAGCTGGACAGGGCGCCACTGGCCGCCTGCCGACCACGCTCTGGCTGTGCCCCAGGCTGCGCCCGTCTGCCCACCAGGGAGGGCCCGGTGTGGGGCGCTGGTGCCCCAGGTACCCAGTGGGGCCGCAGCGGGGACCGAGGGGGTGCCGTCCAATGATGAGGCTGACGAGGCTGAGACACGCAGCTCCGAGTTTAATGTCCGGACAGAGGCTGGTGGCACGAAGCCCAGCGGGCGCCGGGCACCGGCTCGCCGAAGGACAGTCAGACGGTCTGACCGCAGTGCCCTCCAGGAGGACGCCGGCCGCAGCCCGGGGCCAGGCCGGGCGTGGGCCAGACCGAGCACCGCCAGGCTCCAGGGAGGAAGGCTTTTGTGGGGGCCAAAGCAAGTCGCGGGGGGACGCAGCCCTGGGCGTCCACGTCGAGGGTCGGGGCGGGCTGCAGGCCGCAGGCAGCCCCAGGCCGAAGCACCAATTCCACGCAGCAGCCTGCTGGGGCAGCCCGGACGCCCCCTCTGGGGGCTCCTGACCACCCTCTGTCCTGCTCTCGGGACTGAGCAGAGGGAGACCAGAGACAGGCAGGGGCCTCTGGGGCCCGCCCAGCTGCTCTGGAGACCAGAGAAGGCCCCTCGTCATCGGCTGCCGGCCTGAGAGGCCCGGGGAGGCTCTGGGGCTGGACACTGAGGTGGGGCAGGGAGGGGCCCTGAGACGAGCGTGCGAAGGCCTCAGCTGGCTGACCCGCCCGCAACGGACAGTCCCTGCCGGTGACAAGGGGGGGCGCTGCCCGGGGCGGGGGCGCTGCCAGGGGGCATGGGCAGGAGCCGGGTGCGCCAGGTGCTCGGACACAGCCACCGTCAGAGCAGGCCGGAGCCCAAACGGCGGCTGCCCGTGGGCCTGGCCATCCACGCACATCCCTGCCCGAACCCCTGCACTGTCGAGGCTCAGAAAAACCAGCTGAGCCCTGGGGGCGCACAGAGAGCCATGAGATGGGGCATCAGTCCAGCTGTCCCCATGGCCTGGGAGAATGACATCAAACGGCCTTCCTGGGCCCCGTCCCCCCTCCCTTCCCCTGGCCGCCCAGTGTCCACCCTGGACTTCCCTTCCGAGGAGGCTCGGGCGCCCGCAGCAAACCAGCCCCCTCCGGAGCTGGGGGACAGGCTGGGAGGCGAAAGTCGCGGCCCCGCCCCTCCCCAGCCTGGAGGACTCGCTCAG